CCCCCTATTCGATGAAATACGACGCAGAATAAATTTCAAGCTCATTGCGTCTTCTTTCATTGCACTTGTAATGGTAGCAGTGAGATATTTAAAAGTAAACCATTAAGAAATATACATGTAAATACATGTAAAACCTTTTCAAACGGCTTTTGCACGGATAGGTAGGCCATCGACTGTTGTGATTCACCGACGAACAGGTGCACGATCTAAATGCACTGAATATAATGCATTTATACAACTACAACACTGATCCTCTTTGTGTTGGACAAACTATATTAAACAGATCACGCACAAGAAAGAGAAAGAATGAAAGTATAGTAAGAAAGAAAACAAACGGAAAAGAGCATGCCCAACGACACCCTACGGATTTTCACCTTTCTTTCTTTTTTGCCACTGTTTTTGTTGTTGTTGGTGAAACAGAAATTTCAATACAGTAATATGGCCATCACATAATTTGTGCACATCCAACTTCTGTGAGTCACGTGCGTATAGGAGTTAGTACATATGTATTTTAATGTCATCAATTATCATCATCATCCGGTGCCTTGCCGACTGGCGTGGGCGATATCCACTTAATCATTCTGCCTTGTGTTGCAGTAATGGTGTCTGTTGTTCTTGCTGCTCGCCTGGCTATATTGTCATCTTGTCCAGTATCTTTTCCCTCTGTCTGCCTCTGCCTCTCTTTCCATCAAACTTGCCTGTTGTTACAATATTCTCCAATGCTTCTTATTTCCGCTTTGTGTGTCCGAAGAAATTCGCCTGTTGCTTTCTTATAAACATTCGTCGTAAGCTTTCTTCTACAATTTGCTTCAACCAAGACTTCCTCATTTGTTTTTCTAGCTGTCCTTGGGATACGTAGCATGCATCTTATGAACCTCAACTTTGTCGCCACAATTGTTCTTTTCAGCTGTTTATTGATTGTCCATGCTTCGCACCCGTATAATAGGATTGGTTCCATATGTAACTTTTCAGTACTTTTTTTCTCGTTTCCAGTGACAGATTGCTGTTTGTTAGTATCTGTTTCATTTTTTGGAAGGTTGCTTGCAGGCGCGGTTCGTCCATAGAGCTCGGTTGTGCAGTGCCGCCCAAAATTTTGTAATGATCTATAACGTAAAACACCCACAAAAATATAATAAACGAAGCCAGAAACAAACACTAGCCAAATATTATATCAAAACAAGGTCCTCACTTGCGCCATAACTGTCATTTCTGTGTCTATATCGCCGTAAAACATCTACTATGCCATGCCAAAGTCCACGTGCTTTAGCTAAACATAATAGGATATTCAATAGTGTAACCTGACCTGCTGACCTATAGATCGCTCTTGTAGGCTGATGGTTCCTTTCAATTGCCGAAAGCCATTTGCAAGAAAGATAACTCTTGTACATGAAATCTTTTTCTATTAATGTTGCTATTTCCCTTGTGTGTGTGTTTTTTTTTTTTTGTAAACCTCTCCGTCTGCGTCTTTTTCTCCATTTTTTTCCCACCGATAATCTTAATTATTTAAAAGAATTCAACTGTTCAAATTAAACGTGCCTTTATAGACTTCATAACTTCTTAGCTGATGTATTTCACTCATTGGATGGTTGGCGGGGTTTGCTTTTTATTTCCTATCAAACATCTATCGTCTTTATCTCCCCCCCCTAATTCTTTTTTGTGCCTGTTACTCTCTTGTAACACCTCTAATCTTTGGCACTTTGACCGTATTGTGTTCCAAGTGCTGTTAAAAAAAAATTACTAAAAAAAAGTATTTCACTCATCTCGGGTTTAAGGCAAAGAAGTTATAAATAAAACTTTTACCTTTTGCCATTTATTAGAAGCGCTTCAAATAAGAAATACATGTATAATGTGTTAACATATTATTATTGCCGTTTTCGGTTTCTACCGCGGTAGATTTGATATAGTCTGACATGTATAGAGTCTAGATCTAAATATATTTGCTTTTGTAAATGCTGTATATAGGGCCTTTATCTATATAATATATAGTCGGTGGTGTGACGCTATTTATTACACTGTCTCGTGTTTTGTTGATTCACGCCCGTTTGAAAGCAATTAACTCTTTTTTAAAATTGTACCCTGTTTTGCTCTAATCCTTTCCACTTTCCGCTGGCGCTAGACTAGTCGATTTTATTTGGTGCTACTAATTTTGATGAATAGATCCAAATTTTTATGTCGTGAAAAGCTGATATGCGGGCTCTTTTTATGATATAATAATAATAATAATAACAATAATAATAATAATAATAATAATAATAATAATTGCATTTATATAGCGCATATGATATCCACGCTCAAGAGCTTGCTCTATGCGCTTTACAACTATTATTACCCCATGCCCAGCAGACCCTTTGAGAACACTCTGAAACATTCTCGGCTTCCGCGGAAGCATACATATTCTTGACTAGATCAACTCCTGGAATTTAATATAGATCTAGTTACATTATCTGGGGTCGTGACTGTACGTAGGCTACTTGGTTTGTTTGTTCGGCCAAGAAAAAAATAAGATCCACAACAATAAGATTTTGAGAATGCTGCGAATTAAGTCCAGCAGCCGCTTCTGAGCGTTAGCCTTTGCAAGAGTAACATTATACTAGACCTATAATGCTATAGCATTCTAGATCTTGGTCTTAATCAGAGTGTAAACTCTCTGGTCTAATTAGAGAAAAAAGTGTTGTTCTCGAATTGCCACTGACGTGTAACGCAGGCCTAGTCTACATCTACTCATCTTCTTGTTTTGCAAGTTCAGCTGCCAAGAAGTTTCGTGCAACGTGTGTATGTTGAGTTTGTATACTTAGGCCTACGCAAGTGTGTGTGTGTGTGTGTGTGTGTGTGTGTGTGTGTGTGTGTGTGTGTGAGAGAGAGAGAGAGAGAGAGAGAGGGGGGGGGGGGGGGGGGGTGATCGGGAGAACAGCTCATCCAATGGGCGTGATGCGGATGCGGAAGAGAGGGAAAGTAAAGTGCCTCATTGAAATAAACAGATCAGCTCACTCTTTCGTTTACACGGTTGTCAGGGAGAGCCCGACTAGCAGCTCGGGTATACTGTCAAGTTAGACGGTCAGTTAGTATAAACGTATAGGCCCTAGCTGTCTAGGTTAATCATCTTTGTTTCTGTCTGCGAACCCGTCCTCTCCAAGAGGAAAAAGGGGATTTTCCATTCGTCGCCCAGAATATCAACCAATGGATAGGCATAAAGGTGAGAGTGCCAACGGACATTCTCTGTTGTTACTGTTGATCTACTTTCGTTATCGTCGAACCAGAGAGTCTGTTTGTTTGAACCATTATTCGCTCTTCACTCAATAATAATAAGACTTCTAGTGTTGGTTTGTTGTTCATCAGCCGTGACAGTGTGACAGTGACAGTGCTAGGAGTGAGAAGTGCCAGCACAACGTTTACCTATAATGTCTTGGTGGCTAGGCGTCAGGCCAAACTTGCGATTCCCAATAATATTACATGTATTATGTTCCCTGTCACAAGCGCCACTGCTTGCACACACTCACACACGAGAAAGAGCAGTCTTAACTGATTTGTTAGGTTATTTATTTAGATCTAGATCTAGAATCTATTTATTTTAGTCTACGGCACTTGAGCTGCGATCTAGATCTAGATATTATATCTAGATGTATAGACACGTCTAGCACTACATCTGCCCGTAGGCCTAAGTAAATATATGCTTACTAAAGTTAAAGTAGGTCCAGGTTCAGCTCGATCTATTGTCTAGGCCTAGATTTTAGTTCCTGGCCCAGAACAGCCTCCTATTTATTACACATTGTAGAACAGTGCCGGTGACAGTGGTTAAGTTTTGTTGGATTGCTAGCTGCTCAACCCTATCTAGATTCTAGATCTAAATCATATACCATTCAAGGTCTCATCTAAATTTACGTTTCTTTTTGCTTTCTTGATCAAAAGTGTAAGCAGAGCGTATCTAGCCTAATGTCTTTGGTTTCATGTTAACAACATTTTCCATTAAAAAAAAACTTGTTTGCAGAAGGTTAAAGTAGAGTAAAAAGCTAGTGCTAATTAGGCCTATTTGTTCTTTAACAATCTCACAGTGAGACAGGCTGCTGTGTCTCAAAAAATTCTCTGGAATTTTATAGCTCATAAAAGCTAAAGATCTAGGAATTCAGTGTGGATTTATTTTATTTCATCTGAGGATTTGCCGTATCTATTAATGTTGCTATTGTTTCTTTTATTCAAGGCCTACATTAATGCAAACTATCACCCATGTCTCAGGAATTGTGTGTGTTTCACTTTTCTTTTTGATTTTTAACAATTATAACATGATGCTTTTCATTTTAAGGCCTCTACAGCAGTCATGACTGATAAAAAAGGAAATCATGAGTATTTATGTGTGCGTGGTTGTACGTATGTGTAGGCTGTGTGTGTGTGTGTGTGTGTGTGTGTGTGTGTGTGTGTGTGTGTGTGTGTGTGTGTGTGTGTGTGTTTCGAGAATAGGTAAAAGTAAAAGTGTTTAAAGTATTTTCAGAGAGACAGAGATTAATGAGCTTAGCTAGGGTTCCACAAAATGTTGTCCTTCATTGGCACCAGGGATGGATAAATATAATATAAACATAAACCCCAATGACAGTGTAATTTTTCTTTGATATTTGCCATTTTTCACCACTATAATAAACAATAATATGTTTTAATTAATTTATATTTTCAGCGAGAGTGGGGGCTTTGCTCAAGATCTCTTGTTTTGCCAGCTCACAGTCATTCACATCTCGCATCGAGTTTGTATCCATCATAGGCATTCCTTATTGTAGCTTGTGTATGATTCAACAAGCAAAATGAAGAGACCTTCTGTTGATACAAACAAAAATGGCCTCGCACCTTCCAAAGGACACCCCTCTATGGATGGCAACGGAAAAGCAGAGCTCCCGCAAGCCTCGAGTGAGGAATCCTGTGGAGTTGTTGTGGAGAAGGTGGAGCTCAGGAAATCAATCACGTTTGCTGGAGCTCTTGCCATTCTTCTCACAAACTGTGGAGGCACAAGTATCTTCATTGTCCCTACAACCATCTTGGGCTATGCAGGGTCTCCATTTATGGCTCTCGTCATCTGGCTAGTTGGAGGAATTGTCCAAGCCACATTAGCATATTGTGCCTCAGAACTGGCTCTGATGTTTATGAAGGCTGGTGGTCCGTACTACTTCATTTATCAGACTTTTGGAGATTTAGCTGGATTTGTGTTTATATGGGGATTCCTTATTTTCATTGCTGCGCCCGCATGGGCCCTTGGATCTTATACAACAAGCTTGTATCTGCTGTCAATAGTATTCAGGGATTGTGCAATTTCTGATGGTCTGGTCAAACTTGTTGCTGCATTTATTATTGGTGAGTAAATTCCATCTTAAGTTCTCAGGGCTTGAATTAGGTGTTCAAAAGGGCAGGCAAAAATTGCCTAGGTGTGGCCTAAAAATCAGAGGGCATCGAGGCAATTTGCTAAGGGCACCAAGGCAAAATTCACAGGGGATCAGTTTGTTGATTAAAGTTGGTAATACTGGGTCATGCATCACAGCGTTTATAACAATACAATTTATTCTTACTCTCTACAAAAGTATAAAGTTATTGGAACATTATAACATTTGTAAAATTATGAATGAAAAATAAGTAGAATCTAAATCACAGTAAAATCACATCAAAACAAAAGCACTAAAAGTCACAGTTTTAAATCAGACGATCACGATTGCATCTGACATAAATGCCTTTATGACTACCCCTCATTGATTGGATTAAAATGCATATTGTGTATGAATGACTGTTGGAAATAGGGCACAATAGAAAACAGTGAATGATTTGACCAATTAGGTAAGACATTGATCATTAATGAGATTCAAACAGAGTGGTTTTCAGGCAGTGTAGTGATAAAATTAAAACAAATTTTGAACTTGCATGTAAGAAAATGAGGAGTGAAAACAACTTATGAACTTGTATGGAAAAAAAAGAATGAATAACTAAAAACTGTTGTTAAACAGTTATGAGGTTATGACTATGATAAGTGAAAACAAGTTTTGAAAATATGTCTTAAAGTATGTTGTAATAAAAAAGACCTAAACAATCAGCATGTCATATGACTTAATGACTGGATCAGAATATTGAAAATATGTTTGGCACACACAATATAGAAAAAGACTGGCTTACTGAGGTTTGGTTATCATTTGTGTGAGTGTGTTTGCACTAGCCTTGACAAAATTGACAACAATTGTCAAGCTGAGCAGTGTCTGACTAAAGTTTTGATGGGATTTCAGACAACTCTGACAGGAGTATCACGTGTATCTTAAAAATTTTTTAAAATCAATAATTTCCCCCTATTCCGGAGTCACATACTTCGCGGCGTTCAGACTTTGAATGAACTTTGGTGACCCCAACAACCGGTGCTCACACGATGCCGTATCTTGTGATGTAGGTTCAATGACCGGTCACGATGGCGAACCCGACAAGACGCTTGTACATTGTATATTAACTTTCTTTTCTTTTTTTTTTCCACAAGTGACAGCACAGGACAAATTATGTTGATTTATTTTCATGGCGTCACATTAAAAAAAATTAAAAACAAGGGCACTGCAAAAATTGCCGCGGCTGACCCTGTGATTTTAAGGGCATTGTGGCAAATTGCAAAGGCACCAAGGCAAATTGCCGCGGTGCCGCGGTCTATTTCAAGCCCTGAGTTCTTGCGTACTATATTAAAATAGACTTTTTGGGTAAATAATATATAAATATCAATTATTTCATACATGTGGTAAAAGTTTTTAAAATTATCTTTTCAAGTTGAAAAGGAATTTGGGTGCTCTGTTTGCTCAGTGGTAATGCGCTTTACTATCTATGATGTGAATGTCTTTTGGGGTGCTCTTGAACTTATGGTTATTTGGGGAGTTGGCCTTGTCTTTTAAATTATGTTTATTGCATGGTGAAACAGCATTTTACTTGTACCAGACCACAGGACAGGCAAGTATATAGTATATAATATATATGTGAAATAGCGTGGTGAAATCAGGCGCTCGTCAAAACAATGAAATGAAAGAAATCAACATTTTTTTAAACGTTGGCATTGGCGGGCAATCTTTTAAAGAATTTTCTTTTTTTTGGCTGAACACCTAGATCTACATTATAATGTCCTTTCAAAAACGAATTTCTTTGTAGATGTTACTGAAAAAGGTTCATTAAAGGCTCGAAAAATGTAATTTTCCAGTTTCCAATGGACCTTCAAGCTTTGGAAGTTGTCAGACTTTGACGGCCATTTTCTTGCTTAAATATGTTAACTCTCATAGCAGGTGACCCCCACCTCCTCCAATCGCAAATATCTTGACCTTTATTCAAGACAGGTTAGTATTTTTTTGCCAAAGTATACAAAACTAATGAATAACCTTTAAGGTGATATCAATAACTCTATATAATGCTCTAAAATTGGCGAGCGCCTGATTCCACTGTGTTGCAATACTATATCTGTTGTTTTTTAGAAGGAATTATTTTTGTTGGGTTGTTCGTTTCATCCGCTATTTTGCAATCAGAAAGAGATTTCTAAGTTCTTAGAGCAGATTGAATTTTACTGGTAGGTTGTGTATGGAAAGAGCCCCATATTGAAGATAGAATGGAAACATATATATGTAACCATTTAAATTTAAAAACTACAATTGTAACTATTCTGACCCTGACTTTTGAACAAGCATACCATATAGGCTACTGTCCAGAAAATTTACTCTAATTTTTGTGTTCGCTATCATTACTTAATTTTATTTTTTTCTCATCTGTTCCCTGTG